GACAGGGAAGAGAAGTCGGTATGGAGGGCCGTTGATTTGGCCTCGAGTGTGGCGTGCATGCGGTGGAGGAGGTCCACTATGGGATCCAAATGGGAAGCTGAGCCCGAACTGGTTGCCATAGGGGTGGCCATTGAGTCGGATGTAGGCTCGTGAGCTAGGAACGCAAGTCCTTCGCTGGTGGAGCGGGAGGGGCTCGCAAATTCGGTAGTCTGCATCGGGTCAAGGGATGGAGAAGGTGAGGAGGGAGAATTGGGGCGGGGGGGGCGCTCAGTGGCAGCAATCGGTGCGTCAAAGCGAGCGAGTCATGAGCGTCTCGGGCGCGATTTTGGAATGCCGCAAGTCCTTCGCTGGTGGAGTGGGAGGGGCTCGCAAATTCGGTAGTCTGCATCGGGTCAAGGGATGGAGAAGGTGAGGAGGGAGAACTGAGGCGGGGGGGGCGCTTAGTGGCAGCAATCGGTGCGTCAAAGCGAGCGAGTCGGTTTGCGGCACGAGCGTCTCGGGCGCGATTTTGGAGTGCGCGCTGATGGGTGTCACGAGGAGCCAGGTTGGTACGCAGAAAGAGGAGTAAGGGACTGCGAGAGGAAGGCGAGTATAAACGAGGTCTGACGAACTTCCAACATTAAATCAAGAGAATTCAAAGTCGGAGAGAGGGAGAAAGAGGAAATTTTTCAATTCGGGGAAGAGAATGAGAGGAGATTTTCAAAGAATAGTGTGGGGGTCTAAAGGAAAGCATGCATCAGACATTCACAGAGTCAAAATCAAATTCCGAAAATATTTGGACGTAAATTCGGAATTCAAAGGAAATTGAAGCAAAATTCAAAGGAATTTCAAAAAATTTCGTAAAAATTTTCGAAAGTTTGAGGAGATGATGAAAGATGTAAAGATGAGCTGATAGGAAAATTTTTGAAATAAAATGGAAAATTCCTCAACGTATTTTCGGAATTGAAAGAATTTCGAAGGCAATTTGTAATAAAAATGGAAAACTAATTCCTAGATTAAGAATTTACGATCAAATTTCATGAAGAATTAGTAATAGCCAAGTACAGTAAGTTGGGAGAAATTCCAGAATTATCTAGGTCAGATCAGAGAAATTTCTCCACGTGTTACAAGATTGAGGTGAATTTCAAAGAAATTTGAAAAGAATTTCCAAGGAATTTCAAAGGATTTGCAGAATTTCGTAATGTTACGGGGGAGGAGACAACGAAATTGATTTGACTTCAGAAGAATTAAATTTAGTAAATTCCGGGATTTATTTCACGAATTTCTGAAAAGGAATTGAATTTTGGAATTAAATAACAAAAGGAATTTGATAAAATAAAGAAATTTGCATAACTTCTGAGTAAAAGTGTCGGAATTAATTCTGTTCACGGCGTTGGTGGAAAAGAAGATGAAGATTAATCCTATCAAATTAGATTGAAATTCTGAACGGCAAAATGGACGGCATTGTCAGGCAAGCACACGGAAGGAAGATACGTGTCACACGTAGTAGAAATTTTGGATGATGCGACCAATTAGGTGGGAGGGTGGAGAAGAGAAGGGGGGTTGGAGAGGAGATAGAAGACGAGGAAAAAGATGGGATCTTTGAGAGAGATCGGCGGGAGGGAGGGAGGGAATTAGTAAGAGGTAGAGATTGACAATACCGCGCTCCCGGTCGGCCGGGAGCAATAGATGTCCTTCGTCCTAGTCGAGAAAGGTCTTGATCATACCCCTAAATGGTCTTCTCGATCATTCCCCCGGTGGAACGACGAGATCGCCGGATGGAAACGCACAATGAGGGTGAGAAGCCGTGGCGATGACGATGTTGACAATAGCGGCGATGATGATGATGATGATGATGATGATGATGATGGTAGCAGCCGTGAATGAGTTATCCGTGTGGTAACTTTTCTGACACCTGTAGCTTGAAGTCCTGAAGCGCTGCAGGGTCGATAGGCGAAGCTCTCACAGTTTGTATTCCTACCGGAAATCAAACTCAAATGAGCTTTTGTCCTTTTTGCTCCAACGAGATTGCAATTCTCGTTGGGCTCATCATAGGACACCTGCGTTATCTTCTATCAGATGGGCCGCTCCCACCAAG